AAACAACAACTCTCTATTATTAGGATCTCTCCCTATATATATATATATATATATATATATATATATATAGTATATTATCTTCATTATGCATGTAGCATATTGCTTTGTTTTATTGGGGTTAAATTAGATATAATTCCTTGCTTGTTCGTCACAGATCCTGAAATTCAACAACCTAGCTCGGAAGCTGTGTTAGTGAATCCTAGTAAGTGAGCAAGTACCTTAAAATTGGGAAAGCAATCTGGACATGTAATTAAGAATTTAACATGGATGAGGTGAAAGGGAAGTTGTACCCGGAATATGATTGTTTAAGGAAAAGTGATGATTGATGGAAGCTAGCTAGAATTGAAGAAAAGTGATGGATGATGAAATGATGGGAAATTGAAATTAATTAAAAAACAATATAAAAATGGAAATAGAACCCGTGCGAGAGGATCATTGAGATGAGTAGAAATGAAGGAGGTGGGTGTGTCCGTACCATTTAATTTTCTGAATTAATAAATGGAGGAAGAGAAGGAAGGTAGAAAGGTGTTGTCTATATAGACAAAGTGTCCATCATCGCGTTTTGCTTTCAGAGGGATTGGGTTGGGAGAGTTTCATGAGTATTTTCATCTGCAACTATGTCTTCTCCGAACCAAAATTCTGTATAAATTTATAATATTTTAAATACACATCACTCATCACTGCTCAGATTGTGGTCCAAAGTATTTTGAGCAATAATGTTCATTAATTCTGCTTAAAATTAATATTCCTCTAATTTCTTTTATTTATCACCAATAATTGACAGTTCAAAAGTAATTTTCTCGTTGTGTTGTACACGCTCAGATCTAGCGTTTGCGCTATATATATGCGTCGTCTTATCCTCCACACTTTTTTTTTTCTTCAGTTTTTCTCTTTTTTTATTTTCGGTGTGTTTGGTAGGCATAAAAATTATATATACTATTAAGCCTCATAAAATTAGAAAATCCCATAGACGACGTATATTTTGTTTGATTAAAATAATCCAAAGGCCCCATCACCTCCGATTTCCAAACACGCACTTAAACCAATTAAAAAGAAATTTAATTAAGTTGTCACAATTACGTAGGCATTGTTAAAACTCTATTAGCAGATCGAGGACATAATTATAAACCAGAAGAGAAAGAGATTTAAACAAATAAATAAAGTGGGGGGTAGGAGATGAATGACTTCAAAAAGGAAGATAAGGCCAGGGTTACTGTTGAATCTTAATGAAAATTTGGCCTTGGTTATATCTGTTCGAACTTCACAATGACTATAGTTGTCAATTGGATTAACTATAAACTGAAAATTTTAAGTCTAGTCGAATCATTTTCAGGATGTGGGTTAAATAAGACAGTTCATGATCGATTCCATCATCTTTTAAAATATTAAAATTTTATACTATAAAGTAACAAAATATATATAATACATAATAATAGAATAAAGTGTATCAATTATAAAAAGAAACCTGTATTAGGAATAAAAAACAAAATTTGATGTATGTAGAAAATTATCCTTACAATAGACTTCAACAAAATATGTAATTAAAATTTTTATTTGTGAACTTGAATTTTCACACCCTAATTTTTTTTATTAGAAAAAAATTATAAAGATGTCAATAAAATTCAAATACAAGTTTTTATATGTCATAATCTAAATCTATGCATTGAGCAAATCAAATCAGTCTATCCAACTTGACCCATTTCCATTTGACCTAATTTAACTCATCTTCATTATTGGTCTTTTCTCGTCGCTGGTTTTTTCAATTAAAATTTGAGGTTTTCTCCAAATTTTATGTAATTGAAAACATTGTAAGATTAATTTTCATTGCCTTGATAACCAACGTTAACACTTAATTGTAGAATTTATTATGCGACTTAATTAAGTAAAATTTTGATTTTAATCGATGAACATTAATGAAAATATATAAAATACTAACGTAGGAGTATCTAAATTTCCCTTAATTATCAGAATCGTTCATAACTAACACTAATGCACTATGCAATAATGATTTCTAATTTATATGAGATAAGTAGTAATTGATTTTTCTCTTTCTCATTCGAAGTATATCTATGACTCATTAATGAAAGTTAAGATTCGAAGTTATACAACTAAGAAGATGATGTTATATATAGAAAGCACTAAGGCACGAAACATGTGTCACACATGTATGTGAAAAATAAAAATCTAAAAAACATATGAACTACAAAATCGTCCCCACAAAATGCACAAGAAGGGTGACGCCCACCAATGAATTCTTATCTTTGCTTGGAAAGGTAAAATAAAAAGTAGGTTTGAATTAATTGCGTTGTCGGTTCCTTAAATATCCAGCTACTAGTTAATTTTTGTGGATTAGAACATGTGTAGAGCTATTTTGCTTCCCAACAATAGCTGAACCGTGAAATGGGACGAACGCATGGACCGGTTCGCTCAGACCTAAAATTTTATGCTTATTAATATTTTCTTTTAGCTTTCTCATTTTATTTATTTTATTTCTATTTAAGTTTTCACAAAAGAAAAAAAAAAGAACTTATTCGATAAAATAAGTTTAGTAAATTTTACACCGCTAATTTATTGCTTCATTTTAACCCGTTTGGCCCCATGGGTTAAGTTAAATTAACCTAATTTTTTAGGTCAAATTTATTTATTTAAGTTTAACCTTGCGGGTCACCTAGTTAATCCATTGGATCGAATCATATAAATCAATTTACATCGGTACAAATTACTATCTCCCTTATATTGTTTAATGGGTTTTCGTTTCGTTTCACTAATAATTTAAGAGTTTTATATTGGTATAAAATTATTTTGTTCATAATTCATTTAAAATTAATGTTGTATATACTTCTATAATAATATATAAAAATAAAAACATTTGATTATTTTTATATATATATATATATATATATATATATATTCAATTATTTGAATTTTACATTCGTAGGAATTTAAAAGTAGATTTAACCGGCCTCATCCCAATAAACACTTTTTCTTAATGAAAAAGGAAAATCATATTTGATTACTAATATGATTGTATTTTATTTATGGAAAATATATTTTACACAGATGTTGAGATGGCAAAAAATAAATGCACCTATAGTAATATGTATTGATATTTTTCTACTTGATTTTAAAAAAGGTAGGAGTGGGGATAGTTGTATCTATATTGTGGGTATCCATTAAATAAAATTACTTAAATACCATGATTATCTTGAATTTTTTTTTAATTTTTAATATTATAACAAATTAACATTATAATGCAACTTCAAAATTAATGTTAATTATTTATTTTTAATATTTTAATAGAATTAATATTAAATACAGGTTTAAGTTCATTTTATTTTTTTTTTAAAATACAAATATTCATAAACATCTAATATTTATAAAACTCGTAGATATAAATTTAACCGATTCACACATAGGTATGAAGTAAATACACTACAACAAAATAGACTTTTAGTGACGTTTAATATGACTTTTAGTGATAATAAAAATTGCTACAAATTTTTTAACTAGAATAGTAATATGGTACTAACACATAATAGTAAATTATAGGTCTAACTCAACCCTATAAAATAAACTTGTAAGGTGAGAGTTAACATCCATTTATATACTTTTTAATTATCTTATTTCTAGTCGATGAGAAACTTAAGTTTTTTATAATAAATAATTATCGCTAATAGTAAATTTTAGTGTAATACAAATACATTTTTAGTGGTCATTATATATTATTCATTAATATTTCTATTAAATAATAAAATAAAAGCAATTGATTTATTACCGTTAAATAATTGTCGCTAATAATAAATTTTGTTGTAGTGATACAAGAAGAATTTTTATCCAATGAAATGGAGATGGGAAGGGGTATCCTACTATTCACCCCACGGACCCATTGTCATCCCTACACATCTATACATGAATAAAATACATACACATATTTTAATTAAATATAACATTAAAGTAAAGATTTCATACTAAATTTTACTAACTTACGCTATAAATAAAAAAAAATATTAAATATGATTAATTTCACCTTAATTTTTTTAGCTAATTTATAAAATTAAATTTACAAACACTAATTCAAATAAACTCATTTGTTAAAGTTGCGCATTAAATTAAGGTGAATGACAAAGTTAAATAAATCAATAATTAGGATAGAGTGTGTGGATCAATCACTATCTCAACATTTTAATTTAATAAATGTTTTTAATTTAAGATTTAAATATATATATATATAATATAATTTTATTAAACATTTGAAATAAAAAATTATTGTCCATATTTATGTAGAATTACCTCTCATAAAAAAAAAAAAAAAAACAATGACATCGTATAGAAAAAATCAGTTTTATACAAGCAAGCAGGATAATAAATAATTGTGAATGACGGAATGCTATAGTCATGGACGTGTATGCCACTTGTTTTGGATGAATGTTTGTATTTTTTTCTAAACCGTCTATTTCACAATGGATTACGAGGTTTAATCATTTAAAAAGATAAAACACTATTCGAGTTTATGTCGGGGGCTCAAATAGGTCGACAGGTGGGATTTCGTTTTAATTACATCTATCAACTTGGTTAACATCACTTTTAGTCACAAATATCTTATCAACAACATAATTAAAGAAGGAATCAATATAGTTACTCTAAAATAAAGTTGATTAGAGGAAACGAGAGACACATACACGATGTCTACCCTCACATAATTTAATATTACAAGTTTCAATTTGGATGCCCATGATGGGCACAAGCTACCTTTGTCATTTTTCAATTTTATAATATTATTTACGTATCACTCTCTCAGACACTAATTTTGCACCACCCGACCAGCACAGTTAAACATTATGATTTTTATTTCAACAAAGATATTTATGTATTTCTATAATGTTTCTATTTTTTATATTTTCTTTTTAAATTATATTACATTTCTTATCCTTTTTTATTTTTTAAATACACACTTAATTAATATAAAAATAACAAATTAAAGTTTGTATTAATAGCAAACCTTGTAAAATATTTTTAATTAGTTACTTTTAATAATATTTTAATTACAAAAATTATTAGTTGACACTAATTCCATAAGTATCATAACTAATACTAAAGTAAGAAAACAACAATAGTGAACCTAAAGCTATCAAATGGATTAGTCTTGTCCTTCATATAAAGTATAGGAAATAGTCTAATTTGGTCTTTTTTAACTTTTACATGAGTTTTTTTTTTGTTTTCTCGAGTCTATTGACGAGTTTGGTTGAGCCAAATTAGACCAAATTATTTATTTATAATAATTTTATATGTAATTTAAAAAAATAAAAAATAAACAAGACCAAATAGATTTGATACCTTTCAACTTAATTTGTATGGGTCTGAGTTTGCTTGATTAATCCCTCGGGTTGGAAAAAAAATTAAACTTTTTAGTGCCTGAAAATAAAGAGTTTAATTTGATTTAACATAATGTAGGAATAAATTAATCCGTTAGACCAAATTTAGTTTTGACACCTCTATTATATATTTGTTTAGAAGATATTGTTAATAATGATTAATATCGATACTAACTTTAATTTCTTGATAAAAGAAATCATTTTACTTTTGAATTAATGTCATTTTTTTAATACACACTAGATGTATAATCCTGCCTGATATTT